AGTATTTTAAACTGTATAAAAAAAATTGAAATCAATTGTGAAAATCCATTCCTTATATAGGACGTTCTCTCCTGTTGTATCAATATCGATTTACAAAAATTTTTCTGTTGTGTAACTAATAAAAAAATAGAAAAAAAACAAAAACAGTAGATACGAGAATAAAACTAGAAGAAACGAATGTATGTTGTCATTTTCATTAGATTTTGCCTATATACTCTTGAAGATTACTGAATAAAACCAATTTTACTTGTCATCTTGAACATTTTACTGGAATATTTCTTTCAAAAGGTAAATAATAAATAACTTTTTTTATAAATTAACTTGTTTAACTTGTTTTTTTTTCTATACAGTTTTTCTAGGTCGGTTCAAGTATAATTTTTTCCTCATAAAACATACTGCTAATTCTTGTTAAGCAATGAAAAAGTGACAGATACCAGTAACGGCAAGTCACAGATCATGGGTTTATTTCTCACACAGACATGCCAGATCACTGTACATGGGGTGAACGATTTTTGTGTGAGGGATACCTGTACCCATTTTAACAATTGCTTGATTAATTTCGCAATAAAATATTCATCATTGTTTCTTTTTCTGTCAAGATTTTTATCATGTCAAATATACTAGGAAAAAGATACAAAGATTCATATCTAGAAAGAAATATTAATTGGATGATCAGAAGTAATGATCCAACACCACTTGAATTTTTTCGTTTTATTTTTCCAAAACAACGTAATATGGCATTTGTAAAATATCATGAAACACTTTATGAATCTCTAAACTATGCTGAAGATCAAGCAGTAAAGGAAAAACTTGAAAAAATAAAAAAAAATCTCAGTGTATGTAATTGAATATGTTTTTCTCAAAGCACATTGGTATCATATTTTAAAGCAAGTTTTCTAAGATCTCTGCTCTCTATTACTAGGAAGAAACAATTCAGAAAGATTGGATAACATGGACTGAAGAGAGAAAAGCTGTATGTATTGCATGCTCAGTTATCACAGACTTTCAAATTTATTGCTAATAATGATATTCATAATTTAGGTTGAGATCCGTCATTCAATAATTCAAACAAATGTGAATATTCAAGGAAAATTCAATTCATTAGTACAAAAGGAGGTAAAAAAGAAGTCATGTACTATTCACAACGTGGTTTGGTTTGCTTGCACTAAATGAACATGTCAAATTTTTTATTATAGGATATTAAAACACTTGATTCTGGTACATAACCATTTCAGTGGGAGGTTCAATTTGAATCTCTATTTAATGAATACTTACTAAATCTTACAATTCTAGAATTTGAGAAAAGAATTTCTGATGATGAGGGAGAAGAATCTCATGATGAGGAGGATGTGGAGGTATAGAGTTTTGGTTCAACTTTCAACTGTATATTGGTACTTTAAGTTAAAATTTAATGGTAATTTTTCTGTTTCTAAAGGCAAATCCAATTAAAAAAATTAAATCAATAGTAGCAGCAACAACACCCTCATCATCTCAAATAGAAACAAGAACAAGAATAACTGTTTTAGAAGAAGATGCTGCTGAAAAGGGTGTTGATAGAATTGATCGGGTATAATTTTTGAATAATTTGCAAGATGCATATTGTATTTTAAGCCAGGTTTTAATTTTGATCCTTTTCTTTATGTAGGTTTGTCAAAACTCCAAAAGAATAAAATTAGTAAGTTGGATTTGTCAAATAACTTCTCATTTCTGATTCTAATCAATCCCCTCTTTTAATGTAAACAGAATAATGAAGAGATATGTACCTCTGACATCAATTATTCAGCAGATGAGTCAGATTGGATGCTAAGCACTGGAACTAATGTTTCAGAAAAATTAAGAACTTACTCCAGAAAAATTCCAGCTAAAGAAGCATTTCTTCAGTAAGTATATATCATGCTAAACAATTTTTAAGCTTGTTACTAATTGCCTGTTATATATCTTATCTTAGTCCAGCATATTTTGGGATCGTAGATTTAAGTGGAGAAGACATTGGGTTCAAAAAAATATTCACTGAAATTGAATGGTCTGAAATGATACAAGATTTAAAAACAATGTGTCACTTACTGATTTACAAGAGGAGGAAAGCAAAGCTCTCTTTGATTTAATGGATTCAATAACAAAGGTCTGGTTTGAATAGATTATTGTTATTTTGATTAATTGTCTCAAGTTACATATCAATAAAAAATTATTTCTCCTAAACAGGTGATTGCACAATCTCCAAAAGACCTCATCACTGAAATTGAAAAAAATTGTATCATTGAAGTAAATGACAGTTCATTGATTATTGAATTTCTCAGAAAAGTTGATTGTTTTTTTTTAATCCTTATTTTTGTATTTTTCTATCAAGGACAATACCAAAATCAATGCAATAAGACGCTTGATTCAAAACTAGTGGGTTATTTATTTATTTTTTTTAATAATATTTCCATGCATATTTTATTTTTTTGCTAAGGTAATATGTTTTATAAAGTGCTTTCAACCTTGAATGACTTCCAAATTCAGTGAGTGAAGGATATTTCTCTAGTTCATTCACAAATATGTTGACCAAAGGTATCTTGACTTATGAGCATGGTTTATCATATGATGAGTATGTTTCTTAATTTCTAACCTTTGATATGTGTTATATTTTTGAGTCATTCATCAACTAAATTTTTTATTATTTTTAGAGGTGAGACACAAAGCTTAGCATCAACATTAATAAAAAATTTGGATCAGGACCCCACTAGCAGAAGCATCATAGGTCAAAAATGTGACTGTCGTGTTCATAAGGGTGGTTTTGAATATGTAATTGGACTGAGGTCTGGAGGGCTACCTGAGGCAGCCAAATCAAAAAAATGGGGGGATAAGGTTGACCTTGCTGTTGCAATGAGAGATGTTTTACTAAAAGAAGGACTTGAAAACAATGGAGTTGATACAGAGAATTTTAGGAAAATTTTTACTCTGGGAATGCATAGTTATGGTAAGATATAAAAAGATTGCAGAGAAGCTGTTTCTAAGGCAGAAAACTAACTTTTTTTGAATATGCTAGGATACAAATACAATGTTTATGGAATTGACTGGAAAGCCAAGAACCTTTGGCGGTTTGGACTACTTCAAGAAACAAAATTACCACAAATTATCAACCAATTGCCAATGATTGAAAAGACCATCACTTTGTTGTTGAGGGTTGAGGTTGGTTTAAATACACATATTTTTGATAATGTGATATTACCTTTTTGCTTATCACAACATATCCCATTTACAGAAAACAATTAGTGTTGCTGAAAAAATTAGAAATAGAGTTACTTTTGAAAAAGCTAGGTTATACCGCAATCGAAGAGACTCAGGATATTGTATGCCATATTCAATATGTACTGTAGGAAGGACTTCTAGAACAAGAACAGTAAAGGAATAATATTTTAAAATACATATAGGTTTTCTATAAAGATAGATAGTGAATGAAATCACTTTTTTAAAAATAAATTTGGTTGAAAGGATATGACTTTATTAGCAATGAATTTAGGGTTCTAAATAATTTTTTTTTTGTTATCAACAATTGTTTTGTTTGAGAGAACAAAGGAATAACTGTAAATCAGACAAACAATTAGTGTATATATTAACATCCAAATAGTTTTGATAGAAATATTTATTATATTTGTTGACCTGTCCATTTTAGTATGATTAAGTCTCAAAATAATATTTGTAAATAAAAAATTGTATGTTCACTCTTAATTCTACCCAATTAAATTCATTCAAAAGCTTGTAAAACTAAGCTAGTTTACATACAATGAATCCTCCATAAATGTACACCCTTCATACTTTGCACTGAATGATCTTTTCTCATTCCCTATGCAAAGTTTAGATACTTATTTTCTACTTATTTTATCCTTATTTTTTTTAGTGAAGTACATTTTAAGTATGTTTTAGGGTATATTTTAAGTACATTTCGTAAAATGATGATTATTAATTTTTCACAGAATATACTTATTATATCATCAAAACATCCTTATTTTTTGCAGTAATAAGAAAATTTGTATACTTAAAACATAATTTCTACGTAAATTTAAGTATGTTTTGAGAGCATAACAAGAATATTTTAAGTGTGCGAACTTTGCATAGGGATTCATACTCCTATAAAACCATTTTCTCTAAATACACACCATGATTTCATGTGATCAGTTTGTTAAATAATTCATCATTGTTAGATGCACACTTTTTTTTAATATTCAGTGATGAAGAGAGCAAAGGATTAAGTTATTGTTACTTATACTTATAAAGAGTTAAGTGAGTGAATGTTTACTAATTCTTTCTTTTTAATTGAAAAAGAGCTATTAGAATAATAATGCAAATGGAAAAACATTTATGGGCAAAATCATTAAGGATTGTCTTTTTTTTTCTTAATATTTATGTGTAATATTAAAATGACAAAGTGAACAAAAAATTATAAAATTATATATAGGGATAAGTGTATATGAAAAATATTTGCAAGGGTAATAAATGCAATGGTTCTAATGAATATTGAAAAGCAATTTATTTTTTAGAAAAAGGTTGTAAATGTGGTTGCTCTTCAAGAATTCCCAAAGAGCAATTTGCAGAATTAAGGGAATCCTTTCAAGCTCTCACTAAATTAGAACAAGACATATTTTTGATGGCCCAACTTAAAGCAATGGATGGTGGAACAATAGGCACCAGTAGGCGCCTTAAAAAGAAAACTAGATCTAATAAAAGAACTTTCTATCACTGAGATCACAATACACCTCTTTGTCAAGAAACTTACCTCAATATGTTAGGAATTGGCAGAACTTATTTTGAAAACATCGGAAATCATCTGATAAACAATGGTCTTCTAGCAAGAGTTCATGGCAATATAAAGAAGATGCCTCAATGGAAAACTAAAATGGTGATTGATAAAAATGCTGCTGAAGTAGTAAAGAATTTTCTAGAAAATTATGCAGAAGTCCATGGATTACCAAGTCCAGGAAGAAGTATCAATAGAATAACTCAATCAGTTATCTTTTTACCAGCAGAAATGAGTTGTAAATCAGTATATAGAGATTTTCTAGCCGGTCTGGAAGAAGATAGTCATTTGAAATCCTTAAAATATGCTGCTTTCAGAAAATTATGACATCAATTGACACCAGAGATTCAAATTATGAGTTCAAGGACTGATTTGTGTGATACTTGTCAACATTTTAGAGATGGTTTACATTATAATGCTCGCCAAGAAGAAGAAGCTAAAGATTTGCTCAAAAGATTTAAAGAACATCTGTCCAAAGCCAAATTAGAAAGAAATTATTATAATAAAAATACCAAATTAGCAGAAGAACAAAGAAAATTAATTAATCAAAATTATTCAAAGGGTAAAACACAGTATTGCAGTATTGATGCTACTGCTCATTATAGTTATGATTGAGCTCAAAATGTTCATGTACCACATTTAGATCAACAAGTAAATAAAATTTATTACCTTAGTCCATGTAAAGTCCATTTGTTTGGTATTCAAGATGAAGCAGTAAGGGAGCAAATTAATTATGTTCTTAATGAAGATGAAATTATAGGAAAAGGACCAAACGGCACACTTAGTATGATCTTTGATGGAATTAAGAAATTGAATAAAGGTGAAAAACATTTAAAGATTACTTGTGATAATGCTGGTGGTCAAAATAAAAATAATGTAACAATTTGATTTTATTTGTATCTAGTAATTTGTGGTTATTATAAAAGTATTGAATTGAATTTTATGATTCCAGGACATACCAAATTCAAATGTGATGGTAGCTTTGGTTTAATAAAAAAACTCTATAGAAGAACAAGAGTAGATTGTCTGGATCATGTGGTAGAGGTAATAAAAAAGTCTAGCCCAGCAGGATTAAATAAAGCTCAATGTTATGAAGGTGGAAAAGGCTTTCAATACTTAGATATTAAAGCAATTTTGGAACTTATTTTAAGAAATTACCAAGTATACAGAAATATCAACATTTTCTTTTTGAAGCATCTAATCTTGGTACAGTGAAAGTTCAAGAAGTTGCTAATGGACCTTTTGCTGAATTCAATTTATTGAAAACCAAGAAAGCAGATATTTTTGAAGAAATTAGAGCTTTATTTATTTTAGTGTTAACACCACCTCCTTTGGATTACCAAAGGCAAGAATACCTTTATAATAATATTCGCCCATTTGTAAAGGATGAATTTAAAGACATCACTTGTCCCAAGCCAGCACAAAATGTAATTGAATAATTTTTATATTAAATAAAAAATTGTTAGATGACATAATTAACTCTTATGTTTCTTAATTTTCACTATCTTAATAACCAAAATAACTAGTAGACACAATAATATTCCACAACTAACCATTCAAAAAATTTTCTCTCTCTTGTTCTTGTTAAGTTGGTTTTCTAATTCAACTCTAGGAGTTTTATTCCAATTTCGATAATAAGCCTCTGGATCTCTTATTTTTTCAGCAATACATTCATCTTCCATAGTGCCTAGAAATTGATTGTTTCTTTGGGGTCTAAATTGCCTCCATCATTTTTGTAATGTGAACCTAGGAAAAAGTGGTATTATAAATTCAGAAGCAGGATAAGTTTGGCTATAACTTGAAGATATTTCTGCTTCTTCTCTTCATAATTGTGTGGCCTTTTCATTAAGTTCACATTTGATAGTAAAACCACCAGCAAATGATGCAGATTCCATTTTTTGTATAAGTTCTTGACAGACTTCTCCAATTTGATTTCAGGTTTCTTGATCCACAGCATTGATATTGTTAGGTAAATGATTTTTGGTAGAAATGGTTATATTTCCTATTTCAATGTGTAATCTGGCCACAATGTTATTCTTTTCTGCAATGATAGTATTGTCATTTGTTACTTGAAAAAGTATTTTTGCATCCTCAGCTACTTCTGGGGCAAAACTTTTTCCCAATACACTTTTGATTCCTAAACTTCCATAATTCTTCTTGTATTTAGGAACCACTCGCATATAAAAATGGGGTGGATTTTGAGTGCCAATTGGTGATATTGGTATACTAACTCTATAGCCTGCTGGATTATAAGCCTTATCAACTTTTTTTACAACATCCCTAAGCACAGTCAAAATATCTGATCATTCTTCCCTAGTTATTTCTTTGAAGTTTTCTGCATGGCGTTTGGTACACAGTGCTACATGACCTTTAGAGTTTTGTCTTAAAACCACACCAGCATTTATATACTTTGAGTCAGAGACTTGAGATTTAAGCATTCCTTTTTTTTGTACTTGCATTTTGTCACACATATGGCAAACTATTTCACTCCCTTCAGCACTTTTTGGACAAATATAGCTGGGAATGTTATCATCTTTTCAAGTAAAGTGATCATTTTGTTTACCCCTTGCAATTTGCTGGTTACAATTACGACATTGGGAACATTTATGTCCTCGACTGTCTTCATAAGCAGTGACATCTCAGTCCAGCATGATTTTGCATTGAGGGCATCAAATAGTTATTCTATCTCACCTTCCACTCCCTTTTTGATTAATAATTCTTGTTCTGAAAGGCCAGTCAAAATTTTCTTTATTTTTAACTTTTTGTAAAGTTTCTCTAAAGATTTTCTTTTTATTTCTTTCTCAAACAGCAGTTTTTTCATCTAATTCTTTTTGAATTATGTTTTCAGAGCAATCTCAACAACAAAATTCTTTATGTTCTCTATTTTCTTCATCTCATCAATTAATTTCTGATCCTTCTTTAGTTTGATTACAGTTAAAACATTCTTTTTTACTCATGATTACTTTTAATATAGTAAAATTTTAAGTGAAAAAAAACAGGTTTCAATCACAAAAAGAGAAAAGTTATAGTTGGAATGATAGTAATTTTGCATTAGGTTTTTTTGCCCAGAGATTTCAGTCTTTTGTTTTGTAATAACACACTTTCATTCTGCTTTCTTTTTCTAATGTTTATTATTATTCTTTCTTCTTGGTAAATTTCATAAGTAATCTTTTCTTTTTTTAGATAAGCTTCAAGTGTCTGAGTATCATTTATTTTGAAAATGTAAGGAGCAATTTTTTCACCTTGTTCTTTCTTCAAAATACTTCTGATAGCACTATAATTCTTGGGTTCCATAGTAGATCTGATATAAATTAGTTTCATATTAACTATTTTTATATAGAGGTAATTCTATATATCACCTAATATTAAGAGGATAACAAATGGAAGGTTTTAATAATCACATTACTAAATTTTGATCCCTGAAATTTTTGGTAATACCAATGTTCACTTTGTCTGGTTTTGTTGCAGCATACCCATATATTAGTTAAATAGCATCTCTGACATTGCTTGATCTTGGGTAAGCTTGTAGAAAAGTTAAAAATGCACATATTATATAATTTTGTAAATTATATGACCATTAATAAAGCTCCCGCCATGTTTTTCTTGTTTTTCTTTTCCTCTAAAGATTATTATTTTTTATTCAATGAAAAGATCTGCACAGAATTTAGCCAATTAGAATTTCTTTCCATGATGTCGATCATTACAGGGTATTATCCCTGGTTGAATTTAGCCAACCAGAATTTCTTCTAGAATTTTCATACAATCGATTAGGGATGGTATATAACATGTTATAAAAGATTTGAGTGGTATATACCATATTTATACCCGGTATATACCATGGTATATACCCCTACTAAAAAATTACACAAGAAATTGATTGTGGTATATACCATGGTATATACCGGGTATAAATGGTATATACCATTCGTTGGTATATACCATTAATATGCAATAAGATAACAATTTTGGTTTGAATATTTATTTATAATAAGAAATGCTAATTGTATAATAAACTTATGTTATACATCTTTG